GACTTTTACAACTGCGGGCTTCACTACCTGGTCAAGCTACACAATACTTCCTGGTAGATTATGCAGTGTAATAAAATGTCCTCCTGCTCAGGGTTGTCCTCTTTCACCCTCTCCCAGATTCTTTTGAGCAACCTGACAAATTTTATCCGTGAATCACCTTGCAAGCTTATGGTGAATAAGAATGAGTAAGAGCTTCTTGTAAGAACACAAAAAAATCCTTGATATGTCAGTCACACATAATTAACCAGTCAAAGGATAAGGCCTTGCTTGTTGCCCATGGAGACTGAAATGTTCATTACATTGTGCGGAACAAATCTGTAGTTTGTACCCAAAACAGGTGTCACTGAAGTTTCCAGACATGAAATCAGTGAAATCCTATATATGTGGCTTTTGCCACCACATGTTGAGCGTAGGTTGTAGGTGGAAAATTTTCTAGGTAGGGCAATTGAATCAATTTCAGCAAACATTCCAGGTTGATTTAATGCAAAACAAAACACATTAGGCTACTACTTTGCAGTTAAATATTTTTTTTAATTAAAAATGAACAAAAAACAGTAATTAACTTCACAATTCTGTATTATATAATATATTATTATTAATAATAATAATAATTATTATTTGATATATATATATATAAAATAATAAGTATGATATAACATGTACTGTATATATGTCAGATGTCTTGTCTGCCTGAATGGCGATAAAATCCTTGCTCTTCACATCCAAAATGTCATCCGCATAACCAATGTTGCCCCAGGATGAGTCTATTTAAGGACGCTGATTGGCTAATGTCACACATTTTTGTATTCAATCAATTGGCCAAAGTGCTTGTTAGACTTAAGACAGGACGTGCGTATGAAAGGCAGGGACGTGTAGCGTTTGCGCAATCTGTTCAAGTATCAGAGACTCGCAAGTATTTTACTAACTAGGATATAGGAAAAATCATAAAGAATACAGAAATCATCAACACAAGTCGTAAGTACAGACAGAAGTCAAATGACTACAATTCAGCTGAAAAGGGGCAGACGTTCTCTCTCCCAAGAGGAGCTAGAAGATCTGACAAAGATTCTAGGGGAGAACAAAAGCTTTTATACATCTCTGAAGGTTCGAGGAAGAGGGAAAAGGAAGACCCTCACCCCCCCACAAAAGGAGATTAGTGGTGAACAGATGTTGTTTGGGAACATCCGCGACTCTCTCTTAATGGGACCTAGTCAATCATATTTGACAGACAGAAATGGACGGAAGGAGATAAGAACAGGATACAGTGTGTCCAGGCCCCATCTGGAAGGCAGGATGCCACCGTGGACTTGGTCAGGTCACGAGTTTACCAAGAAAGGTCACATACGAGTTCTTGAGCACAATATGCACCTCACCAAATTCTCCCCCGACAGGAACTCTCTTAGACAGATGATGATACCATGTTCTTCTACCAGAGACAAGTTACCGATTTGGCCTTGGGACCTAAATCCTTTCAAAAGTCGGCATGACAAGATAAGATAAATACTCACCTAAGATGCCGGAGGGAGGTTGCAATTCTATGGCCTGCCAGAGTGAGCTAGAGCTGCTAATCGGGTCTTCTTTTCTTTTATATCAAATTTTCTTGAGAGTATATTAATTATTTAAAATTTAAGATACATTACATTCAGTATTCACTGTTTTTGAAAGTAGAAATGTTTGGTTATGGCTGACTGTCATCTGAAGTTCTCCAGACTGAAAAAACAAGTTTGAGAAAGTTTTATGATACAAATGGTGTATTTTTTACTTAAAATGTCAAAAACCATGTTAGAGCTGAGAACATGGAAACTCGGGTGTCTTTTTCAAAGGATGCTCTAAATTGTAGTACATCAATACTGTATGCTGTTTGAGTTGAAAGAAAAATTGGTATCTGGGGTGTCTCTGAACATTTTGTGGATAGGAACATGGCCCCTAGCAATGCAACAATGTTGAAAAATATTTTCAGCGTTATCATATACTGCATATTTTTAATGCAAGTATATGATGGGTGATGCTAACTAACTCCTGAACAATACGTATGTAAGTGAAGAGAGTGTGTGTTAACGGAAGCAGAGTAAATGCACGCCATCAGTTAGGGAGCAATGTGACCCAAATAGTGGCAATGATATTTTGAGAGTGTTGTGAGTCATGCCATCCAAAAAAACAAGGCCTGGTGTGAGACAGCTTCTTCAGGAGCTCAGTGGGTGGAGTGCATCAGTGGATGAACTGTGGGAGGAAAAAGGTGGTGAAGGAGCACAGCAGGCTGTGTGTGTGTGTGTGTATGTTTGTGTGTGTGTGTATGTATAGTGTGTGTGTATGTATATGTATGTGTGTGTGTGTGTATATATGTGTGTGTATGTGTGTGTGTGTGTGTGTGGGGGTGGGGGTGGGTGTGTGTGTGTGTGTGTGTGTGTGTGTAAATCTGCTTTGTTTACCTCCTCGGAGAAAATATATGGATGTTCAGACCTTCGGCCTGAACTTCTTTCAGGGCGGTTGGGGTAAAAAAGCTGGATGTGAGCTGTGCATCCGACAGGTGGTTCAATTAACACTTTACAGATGGACAGAAACAAAACAAGAAAATAAAGCAACATATGACTCATCCTGTACCAAACAGATTTAGCTGTAAACGTATCAACACACTAATTTTCCAAAATGTATTACTGTATAACTGCCTTGTAGCAAACATAAACATCTACAATGCTTTATAATTGTAATTGTAACACATATTTATAATGACTTATTAGGTCAAGTATCATCTTAATTCACAATTGCTGGTGACTGACATGTATGTTTTGCAAGGACTGCATAGTTGTAATACATTGTTATCTTTTTATAATATATTCACTGTTGTAATGCATTATAATGTGGCTATTAAATGTAGGCGCCATTGAAAGTGCATGATGGAACATCAATAGCAGGCACTGCTTCATAAGGATGCATCCTGGACTCACAGAGTTATTGTCATCCCTTTGACCTGTTTTATTTTTACTGCCAGATCCTTTTGTTTCCCACTAAATATTCAATGACGTCGTAACACCATATTTTAGGAAAGCCTAGACGGAATCTTTTTTAAAAGCAGCCATCTGGACTATGAGATTAGAATGTGGTGCTCACAGCTTACAAATCACGCTCATAATTTCATTAAAATGTCGGCATGGATAAAATATTAAGTGGATGACATTTAGGGTAACTACAACTCGACTATTAGGATTCTAGTTTATCTTTTTACACTTTATTTTTGCCTCTTCAACACAGAAAGAACACACACATACGAGAAAGAAAAAATTGCTTGGAAAAAAATGTTCTTATCTTCTATTATCGTTGATGTATGAAACATTTTCCATTTATCCCACTCGTCACAACATTGCTCCTTTTGAGCTCCTACCTGTAAGTTTCAATCACAATTTTCAACCACCTTCACAAGAAGGATGGTAATAGCCTATTTTTCTAGCATAATTTCAGCAGATACTTCTCTTCTCTTAACACAACATTTCCTGTCATATTACCAAGTAGAGAAACATAAATGCATGACTATGTGACTATCTAATAGTTGTATGGACATTTCCCAAAAAACTTTACAATTTCCGGATATAGCCTAAATACATGGGAGTGGTTTACATTTATTGCCTCGCATTTCCTCCAACATGGTTTGACAATTGACAGACATTTGTTTCTAATTTGGGGAGTAATACAGAATCTGGTAACATTTGTTCAGGCCAAGTTTGTGAGGAGGTTTAGGTAGTTGTGTCCTCCAAATATTCAACCATTCATCCTCTGTAATGTTCACTCCAAGTCCGTATTTCCATTTTAGTTTTACATGGAATGTATTTCGTATTTTTTTCATTAGATGTTGATATAAAGTTGATATGATTCTGTATTTCTTTGAATATGCCATGACGTTTGCTAATGAAATGTCCCTGTTTATATATGTTATATTTATATTTTCCAATCTGTAATGTTTCATATTTGACTCTTGAACTTTGTCCATTCCATATAAACCTTGAAGTAATTGTATCGCATGCTCTGAATTGTTTGTCAGGAATTTCAATTGTTAGTGACTGAAAAAGGTTTAGGAAGTATGCTCATTTGTATAGTAATCTATGAACTGAGATCTAGTGGGAGAACAGCCCACCTCTCCATAGCACTCCTAATGTCCTGTTCCACTTTAATATAGTTGGCTTTGTATAGAAAATCAGTACATATTGTTATAGTTACCCTGAGATATGTAATTCTTTTAGAACTCCAATTTTTTTTTTAGAACGCCTCAAGTTGATTGACTAATAAAGGGAAATGTCGGGGTCCTCTAAATAACAGATCACGTCATCTGCAAAAAGCCCAATGATAACTTCTTCTTTTCGGACTAAGGTCCATATTATGCCAAATTGCTTGTGCCAAGAGCTCTATAAAAATTGACAATAGAGTCGGTGAAAGACAACATCCATGGCAGACCGCTCCAGGGCTATGCTATCAGTAAGACCGCCATTTATTTTCATCTTTGCGGTTGGGTTATGGTAAAGCGTTTTAACACATTGAATAGCTGTTTCATTTAGTCCAAATGTTTTGAGTACCTGATACAGAAAAGTCCAGTTTATTCGGTCAAATGCCTTTTCTGAATCACGGCTGCATTAATAATGTTATTGTTAATATGTTCAATTATAGCAAGGAGATGATGCATCACCATGGGACAAAAAATAAGCACCGTTTTCCTAATCTGCAATAGGGAATTTTCTGTTGTATAATAGCTGCTGCTTGACCACTTTTCTCCTGTTTTTACTTCCAACAGCTTAATATATCAGCGGCAGTACATTAAATCTGACTGCATCTGCATTTCTGTGGGGGATAAGTGTGTGTCTATTTGTTGCTCTTGTTAATACATTGCTCCTCTCTCTAGAAATTAAATTAGTTGATTCAGAATGCTCAGCCGGTTTATAGAATGTTACAGTTCAAACCAAAAGTAAAGATGGATCGTAGTAAAACATTTCTTTTTCTTTTCTCCTCTCCTGTAGTTCATAGCCTTTGCATCTTTGTTCTTCATCCTGGTCTCCATCACCACCTTTTGCTTGGAGACTCACGAGGCTTTCAATACCATCATCAACAAGACGGAGCTGATGCGGAACAGCACTGCGCCGGACTCAGGCCCGCAATACGAGATTGAAACCGACCCTGCACTCACCTATGTGGAGGGCGTTTGCGTCTTCTGGTTTACTATTGAGTTCCTAGTGCGTGTGACCTTCTGCCCTGTCAAGTTGGAGTTTGTTAAGAGCGTTCTTAACATAATTGACTTTGTGGCTATCCTGCCGTTCTACTTGGAGGTGGGGCTGAGTGGCCTTTCATCAAAGGCTGCTAAGGATGTGTTGGGTTTCCTCAGGGTAGTGCGCTTTGTTCGTATCCTGCGCATCTTCAAGCTGACGCGCCATTTTGTCGGGCTAAGGGTACTGGGCCACACATTAAGAGCGAGCACCAATGAATTTCTTCTCCTCATCATCTTCCTGGCGTTGGGAGTGCTCATTTTCGCCACCATGATCTACTACGCCGAACGAATTGGCGCTAACCCCAACGACCCCACCGGTAGCCTCCACACAAAGTTCAAGAATATTCCCATTGGCTTCTGGTGGGCCGTGGTAACCATGACAACACTGGGCTATGGTGACATGTATCCAGAGACCTGGTCGGGCATGGTCGTTGGAGCTCTGTGCGCCCTATCGGGTGTGCTGACGATAGCGATGCCTGTGCCTGTTATTGTCAATAACTTTGGGATGTACTACTCCCTGGCCATGGCCAAGCAGAAGCTACCCAAGAAGAGGAAGAAACACATCCCTCAGGTGGTGCAGGGAGGGTCCCCCATATACTGCAAAGCAGATCTCAACACCACTTGCAACAGCACTCATGGCGACCTGTGTCACATCAAAGGGACCAGGGTGATGGAACGCAACCGCGCAGGTAAGACAAAATCAAAAAATCATGAGTAGCCACACCTCAGTGTTAAAGTAAAGGTTCCACCGAGTGGTGTTATACATGTAGTGACGGCAACAAAAAAATCCTCAAAGATAACTGAGCTTTCTTGAACTGTGTGGCCTCCCAGCCTTCCTCTCTGGTTGCCACAGTGATGAGGACGTCGGCACACAAGGTACTGCGGTTTGAAGAAAGCTTTGTGAAACGGCTAATGCAGATAGAAAGTCAGAGCCGTCTACGGTTTCCTTGCAGCAGGGATTGTTCACTAGCTGCTTTTCCCCTACAGGCCCACATCAGTAATTACCTGTTACACATGAGATATTGATGGAAATCAATGTTGACCTCCATACATTTTGAACTTTGAACTGACTTTTTTGAAATTCTAGAGCAGAAACCATGGTAGGCTAACAGTATGGGCGATTGTGTGTTACTTTTCTCCTAAGGGTCCTTTCATTACCTTACTCTTTATGTTTTAATGTGAAAGGTTCTATTTTACATATATTGAATTCCGCCAGTCTTTATTGTGGGATTAATTGATCCAAGACGACAATCTGTGATTAAACCTTTCATCTAAAACACTTTCAGAAACTCTAATGAATTGTTTGGCTATTTTCTATCAATAGAAAGTCTGTTGTAGTGCTGATTATTTTTAAACTTCCCAGTATCAAGTTAAATCAAGCCATTCGCTAAACCATTCCCCAACAGTCCAATCATAGCTTAACAGCTGAAACTAAGCTCGACAGGCCTCTCGAGCTTTGGATTCCTCCACGTTGAAGCAGTGTACACAAGCTTAAGGTTAGAGTGATACTATACGCTGATATCCATTTAGCAAATTTATAGGTGCGGTTTTGTTGGTAAAGTATTTTCCTTATCATACTATTGCTTTGTCTTCTCAATGGATCATACATTTTGACCACTCAACATTATATATGAAACAACTAAGTTACCCTTTAAGATCCTGTTAGAAATATAAAAGATAATACTTCTGTGACAAAATAATTGAATCCTTCTAACTGCTTGTGGAGCCACACTGATGTAATTCATGACATATTCCATCATTGCAATGGTTATAGCCAGTGCCACTGTGTTTTTGATCTGTGGCAAATGGCATTGAAGAGAAGAAAATGTGACCCTGGCTCCCATCATTGTAATGATGGAGTGTGTCATCCAGATGCAATAGTGTGTTGACAGATTTTGGACAAAGCGGAAGTTATAGCTTTTGCTTTGTCCAAGAATATTTCATATAGCTAACCGGACCCGTTTCTTTTGTCCCAGTTCTGTCAGACTGCAGTGGGGGCAGCGACCTGACCATGTCTTCAGAAGAGAGGGTCTCCATGCGGAGGTCCAGCACCCGGGAACAAGACGAGCAGAGTGGGGGGACATGCTTCTTGCTCGGTGCTAGTGACTACAGCTGCCCTGCAGACGGAGGGATGCAAAAAACAGGTAACTGCATGTGGAACTCTCCTGGTTTGAATTGTACTTTAATGAACATGTCACTCATTTGTTAACATAAGTCAATTTCTTAAAACATTTGTTTGTCTTTGAGAATCATTCTGAAATTCATACTTGCTATTCTGCATTGACACGTAATCATTTTTCACTCATTATTCATCACGTACTATTCTCCCATTATTCTCCCAGATTTTCCCATGGTTACACTTTTCAGTATGAGTGGAATATGCTTTGAATCTAGGTTGCACCATAGGAAAACAGATGTCAGTTCTTTGTTCTAAAACAAAATGAGAAAAGATCCTCATCAGCTGATGTGTATACGTAGTGACTGGGACACTGACATCCATGTAGGTGGGGGAGGGTATTTCTGTAGTCCTAGTCAGCTCAGGTAACGTAGCCGGCGGATCTGCTACTGCCTCAGCAGTGACACAGCGCTATTTTTTTCCAGCAATTCTGAGGGATGACAGCATCCATGCAGCTGACTCACTGTTGCTTTCATCACAATTTCTTCATTTTTTCCAGTTGCCTGGAAACACTCTCTGACCCTGCATCTCACTGATTTGGCTTTTGCCAAGTACCATTGCCCGTCTGCAACTCCCAAAGAAATTGCCAAGTCTATCATCTGCCCCAAAGGTGATGGTACACCAGCAGATGTTTCCTGTTGCTCATAAGCCTGAGGAATTGAAACGGCCTAAAATAGATTTAAATGAAATCAACTGATAAATGTTTTGACTTCTTCATTTATAACATTGGGAAAAGCATTTTGCTGCTTCTAAATAACTGATTTAGCTAAGAACCAGCCAAAACAGTTGAAATATTTATATTCAGATTAAAAAAACAAACTAAAAAACCTGCTGTTGCTGTTTATGTGTGTATTGCAACAGGCCCTTTGGCAAGCAAGAATGTTATTATCGGACATTTTTGCATTCTGTAATATACTTAGCGCCCATTCTTTAAGTTTAGGTAAGATATGAGGTTGCTGTGGTGGAAGGCTTGAACAAATAGGGGACCTTCACCCCGGAGATTGCTGTTGGTGTGACAAAGACAGACGGTAAAGGGTGGATGTTATTTATTGATGCTACTAACATGGTTATGTTACTATTTAACATCAGCCGTAATATTTTACTCACCTTCACATATACTCTTTCATGTTTTTGTTCAAATTCTTCGTACATCATATGCTATCCATGAATCAAATCTAAAAGCTGCTGTTTGAACAGCTGTGAGTACTAATATTTGCCATGTTGTTCATTATGATAAGTTTAAGGGAGTGATTTTGGAGGGAGGCCTGATGTTGATGAGTTGCCAAATTTCTTTTAAGATTCAGCTAATTTCTGAGTGAGTGTTAAATAATTTGATTGTAAGGGTTATTTTTGCTCCAGAAACTCTCATTCAACATATCCATGGTTTTCAGAAACAGTACATGCCAAAAGAGTTTTGCGTCTGGGTTGCATTCATTCTTTCACAGTAATAACTCTAAAAATTTATAATAGCTAATAACAAATTTGATTTATCAATGAAGAAGTCAATTTGCCCAATTAAAACATGAGTTGAACCTGGGCCTGGTTCTTATTTCTAGTTGTTTAAACTTAGCAGGAAATATCTGGAAACCTTAAAGCTTAACTAGATTTTTAAAACCGTACACATCATTATTTGAAATATTGCTGGATGATAAACAAATTTGTCCAGAATATTTTTGTATTGATCGTCTAGAGGTGCATCCATAGAAAGGTCAGAATCAGAAATGGCTGTACTTTCTTAACACTTTGACCCAAGCAAAGGTCATCATGATGTCTACATTGGCCAAATTACCACAAAGTCTTGCTGATATTCCGTGTGGTTTCAAACGGGCAGAAAAGGTCATGAACTAAAATGAATAAACTTTACGCCATGGATTAAAGGTCATACACAGATCATTCGATAGAAATCACAAAAGACGGTATGTCTAAGAAATACATTTGGTTGCATTCAACTGCACTGAATAACATTTAGATGTCAAGCAAGGCCTAAATCATGGGTTATTACCTTCATTTGATCGCACGTATTTTGAGGCGTTAGTGAATGTGTAATGTGGAAAAGTGAGCCTTGCATAATAACCTTCTGTCAAAAGTCAGTCCAGTCTGTAGTTATTAGTGAAAAGTCACATTAAGGACTTAACTTTCCCACTTTAAAGGCTGACGTTATGACGGTTTTATACAGTTTATACTTCAATATTATGAACAGAAATGGATCAAAGTGAGGTCAGGCAGACAAGGTATGAACCTGAAATATCACTTTGTAAGTCAGTAACGTTACACAATAAATACACAAAGAAACTAAACTTGCTTTGCTCCTATAAACTAACTTTACATTTAGTTGGGTCCTGTCAAAAGTCAACTGTCTCTTCAGGAGATTGTCCAAACCTCTGGTGCTCTTGCTTTGTAGCCTCAAAGTGATTCTGCACTATACCAAACAAATCAATGAACAGTTATTCTCAACTGTTGGATTGCAAGCCAAAAGTGGGTCTACTATCCCACTCCCTCTGGCAGCACGTGACCTGTTCTTAGGGCTGACAGATCTGACAAAAGGGTGTGCTTAATTTTCTTCAAAGCACATTTTTCTGTATTATATTGACGAGGTAATCAGGAGGATAATACATGTGGTATAGGTGTGTGTCTTTTTGTTTAATTTATTTTCAGTTTGGGGATGGAAAATGGATTTCAGGTACTAGTTATTGAGAATTCAAGCAGGATAACACGTAATTCTGGTTCAATTCTCTTTTGCTCAACGTAGACAGCGTAGCAGCTGTATCTTTGTCTCTGCTGCTTCTGTTGGGGGTCGCTTTTGCAGCAACACGCCGGTTAATGCTTAAAACATCGGTTCCCTTTCTAGTCCCCCGCTACCTGTTGGCATAGACCAACACTAGCCTTTGTTCCACCTACTTATGCTGGCTTCGAGACAGCCGTGACGAAGCGCTCTGAAGAATTCAAAAAGTGCTCAAAGCCTACTATATGTGCATCGCATTTGTTTACACCTTAAATGAAGAGCTCACTTAAGGTATATTCTAATTTAAATGGGTAATATCCCTTGTCTTTAAAAAGTGTATGACTTTTTATATAAACCAATTACAGCTTTGAACAGTGACTCTCAACGACATTCATTTGTTGTTGTACAGCTGCATGTCGAGATAACTGCTTTGCAAGCCGTGGCAGTTGCGTTCGCCACAGAAACTGCAAGACAGGAACTGTTGATCGCGTGTGGTTTATAATAGCTAGAATGTTTTTTGGGCCTTATGTGGTCAGATTGGTCTTACTGCCTCCCCAAACTACTCTCCTGTGGAGAAAAAGTTATTCAAAGTGTTTATATATATATATACAAATACATATATACCATGACTTCAAGTCTGCGCCTGAGTCCTCTCTTACTCCTGTCCTTGGACTAACCATGACACTTGTTTAAAAGCCATATGATCAGCTAATAAGCTTAATTTCCCTCTTATTTGTTTATTTGTGACCTCAATCATAGCTACGGGGTGTCTTTGAAAAATGAACAGGAGGATTTTCTTTTTTTTTCTCCTTTTGCCAACGTGGCATAAATGGAGTGTAAAGCCTTTAGCCGTACTGTGTTTATGGATCTATTTCACAAAAGCTTTGGGCACAGTCGCTGCAACAAGGTTTGAAAAGAATAATACCTCAATAACATGCTGTCTCAGCAAAGAAATCACGTTAATGATAATGGACAAGAAGACTGATGCAGATGTTGTTTAGCTTGGGTTCTTGTTATTTTTAAGCAGAAAAAGTGAAACAGCATAGCTATCATCATTTCCCTCTCTTAGCTGTGTCCAAGATTACTTCTTACGTATCAAAGGGAAGGAGCGACGTATATTCTCTGGTCAGAAAGATTTTCCAATGTAAATGGAGTGGGTCTTGTGCAGGAAGTCTGTGGTTCTTTGGCTTAGCCACTGAGGATGAACTAAGCCAATGAGGTTGCCTATAAGACTTAAATCTGCCACAGTAAGGAAAATATCCTGTGCATGCACTCACTATACAGTATGTGGCACTGCTCTGTCTCACTCCTGTCTCCTCTTGTCCCGGTTCACTTCGGCTGGCTCGGACTGGGATCGTTGCCTGCCTGCTCGCCTGCCTGCCTGTATGTGTTCATGTCCTGTTCCTGCCACCACCACCACCACCTCTCTGTTTCCCTCTCCCTACCCCTCCTCATCTGAAGGCTATGAGAAATCCCGGAGGTTAAACAACGTAGCAGGCATTGTCGCTAACACCCTGAGGTTGTCTCCTGTGACTTCGCCCTACGGATCACCCTGCCCACCGCGGCGCTCGCCTATCCCCTCCATCCTGTGAGCCGCCCGGCCCCCTCTAACAAACCACTCTCGTTTGATATTACATCGGAACTTTTAGGTGTTGTGGCTAGTGGATAAATACTTAACTTTGTAGCTAAGACTGCTTGAGCAACTCGTCACTTTCCCCCCTTCTCCTTGAAGATAGATGTACTTAGCTAACTCGTCAGTTTTCTTGTGTCACTCAGAGCTCAATGTTGACCCAGAGTAAAATTATTCTGACTGTATAGTCCAGAAGCAGCCATAACATTTAATGAAGCATGTGTAAAATAATCAGGGACATTTGATGTGTGTATATTTAGATACCTTTTGAAAAAAGACATCCTTCCAAAAAGGAAACTGTGACTTTTATCTTTTATTGTTTGGGTTGGCGGGGCGTCCAGGTGGAGGACTGCTCGCTCACGTCTGTTGCTCCTTACCTGCTGCTCATGTTTTATCATCGTGTAAGCATCTTCGCAAGAAATGTTTTGAGGTGAGAAGGGACAAGGCAGACCGTGGGTAGAGCTTATGGATAAATATATACGTACTATAAATATGTACATATATTTCAAGGATTCTTTTTTTAATTCAATGTTGTTATGTTGGAGTTTACAACTTGCCCTGTGTCTCATTTTGCATGTCAGCTTCACCAGCAATCCACCGAGAAGACTAAAAAGACAGAAAGCCCAGCTTGGCGTCTGTTCCTCTCCGCATGTGGGTTGTTTTTGTGTTTCTTTCTCTGCTCGTCTGCTGCTATTTACAATTAACTTTCTCTCTGCCGCCTTCATGTTTTGTTTTTTTCCTTTGACGGAGCGCCACCAAAGCTGGTTGTTTGCTCACAGATAACTGTAAGGAGGTTGGCTTTTCTGGTTTCACTCAAGCAGAAAGCAGCGTTCTGTCTTCCTGGCTTGAGAAGAAAAGGCATTGCCATTGCAGGCGATGTAAACCTTCTGAGCGAGTGTGAGGGTCAAGTTGAAGTGTGAAACACTATCACCCATTTTGGTGCTGAGTTAATATTGTGGCGGTGCTTGAATCATGGGTTATTGAATGATCCTGAGTAGAGACAGCTGTATGTAGTTGCAGAAACATGTACTATCGATGGCACTGTTAAAACGGCTGCTTGCAGCATTGGAATAAGCTGGTAATTATCACGATATAGGTATAATTACTCACTGTATCATATGTCACCAGGTGGAGTTCATTTCAAAGAAAACCTTGATACCTAATTTATATGTACATTTTCGCTTTTTAAATCCCACTTTCTTTGAGCCATCACCAAGGGGTATTGACTACTCTAATTCCCAAACCAGACACACTGCCCAGAACTCCCTCAGAACTCTTATTGAGTCTTAAATTAAAACAAAAGCAGCCTGAGCTTTGTCATTTCTGCATCTGCTGTATTTCATAAATTGCCTCCACAGGTGAGGGACAGCAGACATGACCGTGCGGCAGCCCTACTGGTTGTCTATACCAGTAACAGATGGTTGCCAAGCAACTGGCTCACGCGGCGAGATCCATCTTACACATAACTCGGCAAAAAGTCATACAATTAAAGAGCAAACTCTCTTCTTTGTCCAAACGCTAAATTATTGAATCACCCCCAACTACAATTTTCAATACAGCTTTTATATTTCTGGATGCATGCATATATATATATATAGTTGGTATATTTATATTTTTTGTATGTGTGCATTTATTCAACATAGCCATCTCATATTCTCATATGATGCTCAACAAAGACATATTGTGCATTTCTGATTTATAGGGATCTGTTTGTATTGTATTTTGTTTAGACCATTCATTTCCTATTTGAATGACGGGGGAATAAGTCACCTGTGCGAGGACCTATTGCCGTGGGAGGACACACCCTGTCTCATTTGGAGCCACTCCTGGACGATACGGATGGAGAGGCACGCAAAAAAAACGATTGACTGACGGCAGCCCAGCCAGCGGCTCAGTGCGCAGGAGAGGAAGTCAAACAGACATCGTGGGAGAACTTAACTGAGAACCTGATTTGTCACATTTTGGGACTTTTTTTCTGTTCTGGAACAATGAAGGGGAAAAAAGTAGAATAAATAAAAATGGACACAACCTTAATCGAGACTATCTACTGTATGGATACATGCTTCTGTAAATAAGAAAATAACACAGCATGCCTGGGCCAAGAGCCTCCGTCCACACATCTGTCCACCAGTGGCGAGCTAGGTAACGAGGTGTTCTTTCACTTGATTTGCTGTGGTAACCCCCCTCGCAATAAGTGTATCAAGATTAATCAGCCGATAAAAATTGAGTGTATTCATAAATGAGATTCTATATACAGTGCAGAGAAACAAATGTGCTAAGTTGAATAAATGTATCGGATCGGTCATCTCACTTTTGTTTCCTTTGGTGATTTTCAGTAGGTGAATTGCTCTGCGGTGCGTTAAAGTGTGTGTGGGTTGGTGGGAGTGTGCGTGTGTTTGTGTTTATCCTAAAGCACCAAGGTCAGAACCGCAGTCTAATAGGCCAGAGACCAAATGAAGGTACTTGATGCCGTCACTCTTCCAGTTAGTTTTAGCACAAAAAAAATGAGACAGAGGTCCCCTGTGATGTGGTTGCCATTGTAGAAGTCCCTCCCAAACCCACCCCCTTGTGCCGTGCATTTAAACATGCAAACACCCTGCGATTGTAATGGAGATCGTTTTTTTCCTCACACACTAAAATTATCCTCACTATAATAGTCCTCATCACTCCTGGTGGCTACACAAATAAAAACTTCCAACGTTTCTGAAGCAAAAGTGTAGCAGAAGTTTAACTAAGTCCCAAAGTGGAACTTCTAGAATGGCTATAACTGCACAGTAGCAATCTTTCACACCCAAACAATCAGACCGGATTTGCAAAAAGCACCTGTAAAAAAAAACCCGCCGATCCGCACTGTGATTTCAGCCGCCTGTTATAAACAAAGATGGCGACCAGGTCAAATTCAAGCTTGTTGCAGCTCTAGAAAGCTGATGGAAAAAGGACTGGATGTCGGCACAACTTTTGTGTCACGTCGGCTGCACACAAGCGTCGTACAATCCTCCTTGAGTAGTGCACACACTGCTTTACTCTTAGAACAGATTAAAGGGGTACCGTTCTTTGTGTCTTTGTAAGATGACGTTTTAACTTGCAAAAAAAGGTGGAAAATACATGTTGACTCTGGAACTTGTATTTTTGTGTCTCTTACTGTGGGGTACATTGCGCTTACCTGTAAAAGTTATGGTAGTCCAATGCTGTGCTTCTCCACCGTTTCCTCAAAATGTCACGCTTTTTGATCCAAGTTCATGTTTTACTGTGAGGAAGATTCTAGTTTGAAGTCTTTTTCTGTGGAGCCCTTAGTTGGCATTCTCAAGTGCATGCAGAAAAAATAAACCCATTATGTCAAATTGTTAAAAAAAAGGACGACATACTGTTTATCACGTTCAAAACAATGTGTATAGAGAAAAGTAAATACCACGTGAGAGAGTCACATAAACTATTTATCTTTAATTCATTGTTTCTGTCTTTACTTGGTCTGACCCGTTCTCTTGCTGAATTCTCTGAATCTTAAAAAATAATCACAGAAAATATGGGTTCATCTTTCCACGTCCAAAGCAGGAGGCCCCACACTTTTCCGGCTCGCAGGCTACTTTTCAACCTTGGTGGGGTTTGGGGGGGTTGGGTAGTAGTCTGGTGAACAAGTAGTAGTAGAGAAGTGTAGACTTGCACTGATTGGAGTCAGCCAGGGTTGCTTTTGAATTAAATGAAATGCGTCTGTTAGTCAGCAAGGCTCACTTATTAGCATTAGCCTTAGTTCTCCGTTAGCTCCTGCGATCGACGCACATGCGTGAGGTGAAGACATTTTTTGAGGCTCGTTGTTTTATTCACATCAACTCGTTTTGCGCTGTTGGAGCGCGTCACCGCTACTATTCACTATTCCCCCCGTCAGCCGTCATGGAGGGGAGGGGGTAGATCACCATGACTTGGTTGAAAAGTAGAGTGTGGGGACCCCTGACCCATAGCAACAGATACAAGCGAGATGCTGCAAAATACTGGCTTTATACTATAGCTGCACTTTATCATTTACTCGGAGGAATCTAGTGTCATACAACCTGTATCATAGTGCAGCTGACAATGAAAAACAAGCAGCCGATTTCCCACAACAAAATGCATTTGTCTGGCGGTAAGATAATGGTGAGCCCCCCTCTCTTCCTTTGTGCCTTGTTCAAGTTGGATAGCAAAATGTATTTGTGACACATCCCTCAACTATCTTTACTCCTGTCGCCATAGAAACAACCACGGACGTGCTGAGGAGTAAACAGCCAGACCTGGAAGTGCGTATTTTCAAAAGAGGACACCCCCCCGTCCCCCTCCCTATCTTAAGGGGTGCTCAAGGCGTCCTTGAGCAAGACACCTAACCCCTAATTGCTCTCCGGGCAAAAATGCAAAAAGCCGTGGGTTAAAAATGCAATGTAAGTTGCTTTGGATAAAAACGTCAGCTAAATGATCTTTAATGCAATGTAAATGTTGCTGTCTCATAGCATTTTAATCAGTGTATATACAGTACCAGTCAAAAGTTCAGACCCATTTTACTATTGAATTATGACAAAATGTGTCCAAATATTTGACTGGCACTGTGTATTATAACAATATACTCTTCAACACGTATTTCAGAAACCTTTAAGATAGCACATACAAGTACTATTTTGTTTTAAATTTTGGACACAAAATTCACCCACTACCGGCATGAATATCCACAAGAAGAACAAAGAGGGTAAGTGCGAATTTTTGCTGCTTTGAAAATGCTATGACTATCATATAGATGCGTTAAAACACAAAAATAAAGTCACAAAAGGTAAAAACCTTAGCATGACATGACAGTAATACAGAGATTATTAATATTAAACTGGTAAATTAAAAGGTAAATTCATGGTGGCAGACACTTTAAACATATTCTCACAAAGAAATACCCATCCAGATATTTTGATGAAAGCTTCCCTAATTTGACATAACGATTGACCATAGTATACACACTGTAAATGTAAGCTGTGAGGATATTATACTGCGGTTTGGCATTTAAATCCTGATGCGGGCCTCGTAATGAGACCGGCATGGTTGACAAGGGTCAATTGAGTGAGGCAGTTCAGTGGGGGCTCGATTTCCAGGCTTTGTTCTAGATTCAGAGTACAATTACTCGCATATTGACATGGAGCCCCTTATTGACAACCATGAGGGAAGCATGTAGTGTCGCATGGCAGTAAGGGAGACTGACAATGGCTGTAAATACCGATATGAGCTGTGAGAGTTGGAAAAATAAATTATAATAAAATATCATAGATGAAACGAGAATTGAGCTTTATAGGTAATCCAGCAGGAAGTCAGTCCACACGTGGGCCACCACTTCACTGCTGTGAGTATGTGGGATGCTCATGTGTAGCTTTGAGTTTTCATCCTTTATTTAGCTGCAGGAAGAGGGATGGATCGAGGCACTGCTGTCCAAATGTTCTATTTAGCTATTAAAAATATCTTCTAATTTAGTTTTGACCAGTTTCTGAAGGTTTGTAAGATTTCAATAAATCCTGATGATTAAAATACAAGAAAGAAGATAGAAATGTACTTATGAAGAATGATTTTCCCCTGATTTTAGTTCCTTGAGAAACACTTTGTTGTCCGACACATCACCTTGCTGATGTATGTAAGAAGCGATTAGGGATCGCAAATATACGAGGCGTCTTTTGAAGCTCTAATAAGGTCTAAAGGTTATGAGTCATTGCTTTTAGCTTTACATTGATGGTGCATTTTTGTTGCGGCCGTGTTTCTACGGCTGGAACACTGGATTTTTAGTAAAACATTAAGCACCACGAGAGCCTCTGATGCTCGTTGATAATTTGTGCCGCGGTGCATTCAGACATCAAATTACTGGGAGACCACTGAAAGCGTCCGATAGCGTCTGTTCCCTGCTTATCTCCTTGCATTCACTGCCTTTCAGCTGACGTGTAATTAAAGTAAAATCCACCACACTCAGAGTAAATGAGAAGGCAAATGACTACAACGGCCTTGCTTAATTACAGACGAGCCACATGGCTGTTGGGGTTTTAATCTGCATGCACAGCAGTGAGTTGGGTGGCAGACATACAGCTGTGGATGGATGCCTCCATACAAGTCAACAAATGAGTAGAATTTATGCTTTTTCTTTTACGGTGTATTATTACAGAATGAGTTAAATAATAGTTTTAGTTTGTTCAGCTGTTGCACCTGTAATGGACTACAGATTATTGTTAGTTGATCTGGGTTATTATTGAACCACTAGTGACCAATGACAAGCCATATACATTAATGTAGACAGGTGACGATCCCAAAAGAGGAGGCACCAAAATCAGAAGTGTACCACACATGCACACACAATCAGACGTGAGGGTTTCAAACTAAGGGTACCTCAATCTTCCCAGCACACAAAGGGAGACACCAATACCCGGAGGCACAAACCCCACCACCTTGGTCTCAGCCGCACCTACAAGGACGAGGGACACAATCAACACAAGGCTCTAAAATAAAAAAAAATAAGAACAGAAAAAAAAGTGATATAGGGGCTGCTCAGTGAGCACCGTAAACAAATCCAATGCCAGAGTGGGCTGGTAAGACGCTGTCGGCAATGCAGCAGGGTAGATGAAAACCCGATAGACAAACAAATCCGTTTCTAGGCAAAACCGTAGGTCAGCAGAGCAGAACTGTGGGCAAAACAGCAGCATTCCTGGAGTGTGAGTCATTGTAGCCACTTAGTGGCAACGTTCTACTCGAACCTCGCTAAAAGTCCCTTGTGGTACAGGATGAAATTAAACTAGAAAATGCATTTCCTGCTGAAAATGCATTGGATGCTAAAAGCTGAAAGCTGCAATTAATAACTTTTGAACAGCTTTCAACTTAATTCAGAAGAGTATTTAGCCCGCTAGCCCCTGTGCTTCCAGGTTTGGTCCACAGCGGTTGGTCTTCTCATACGTGGCTGCCACATTGCCAGTGTTGCGTTAAAAAATGGAGAAACGCCGGACGGACAGCGGGCATTGCAGATCAAAAGGTTAAATTCAAATGTATTTAATAAAGGAGATGGTGTTGTGGTAAAAAGAACATTTCAGCTGAGGAGCCGCTGGTCTCAGCAACCAACAGACCCCAGGTCAGTCTTTTTGACCATCCATAGAGCCCGTCTGCCCCCCCCCCACCAGTGAACTCGAGAACAATGGTCCCTACAGGTATTTATAACAATGCTTAAAGGTGTGAAAGATACTGTCCACCCCTCTGGGAGTGGTCTTCTGGTGAGTTCAATGTAACTCGGATTTTGAATGACCCTTAGTCAATATCAGTAGTTGTGCAAGTATTACATGCATGCATTCCAGTTGATTAGATTACATCAAATACAATCATAACTGTACATTGATGTTATTCTATTACAGTTGCAGAATTACAGTGGTTTTACAATATTGTCATTACTTTATTGATTACACAGTTTCAGAATCATGGCTGTATTCTGTTGTACACTATATGCATTTTATTAATTTTATGAACCGGGTCGTCAGTTAATTTCTAATATCCTACACAAGCCAGCACAATCCCACCGGTTTACCCTGCCGGGATCTTTCCTTCCGGTTAGCGTTCCTGAGTTGGCCTGCTAGCCATGGCTGTGTGGGCCAGAAGGTTATCAGACCCAGTGACGGCAGTGTCGTACGCCGGATTCGGGCCAGAGCATTCGGCCTGATTCTAGGGCATTATTCATCCTGAGTCAGCGAACGGACTTGGCCCGACGTGTTTCTTATGTGTTTCTTTAATAGTTTAGTGTCTTATGTCAACATTTTAAAGTTTAAATGGTGACTGTAGCTGAAAGTTCTGGATGAAGAAGAAAAGGAAAGCACCTACGGATCAGGCAATATCCGTCGAGGTCAGTTAGGAGAATCCTCACTGTATTTATGTGAGATCTGCCCAAGGTGATTTGCGTGTGAATGTTTTTCAATTAGAGGTATCTGGTGGCCCAGCGCGTAATAGAAGCTCCCTCCTGCTACAAGATCAATAGTTTGTACCGGCGTTCATTGTAACCTGTGGGTCATTTAAGCAAGTTGTCCTTTCAGAGAGTCCTTTCCAACTAAAGTAACCTAGTCTGTTCATGAGGCGTTTCCGTTATTCCATCCATCCATTCATCTGCAAACCGCTTATCCTGCACACAAGGTTGCAGGGGGGTGGAGTCTATCCCAGCCAACTTCAGGCAATGACAATTGCAAGGCTACACAGAGACGAACAACCATTCACACACCTATGGGCAATTTAAAGTCCCTAATCAACCTGATCCCCAGAGCATTTCTTTGGACTGTGGGTGGAACCTGGAGGGAACCCACGCAGACACGGGGAGAACATGGAGACTCCACACAGAAAGGCCACTGGGCGGAGAAAAACCCAGGACCTTTCTGCTGTGAGGCCACAGTGCTAACCACCACACCACCGTGCCGCCTCGTTTCAGTTATTATTAT